CCCCGGCGGGGGGACGCGCTTGCCTGGCGGCTTTCCTCACGCCTTTCACCCGCCGGCACCGGGCCCGGCCCGGGGCTCGGCTCTCGGGCAGCTCCCTCACCGGCCCCTGGAGTAAAGTCGGAGGAGAAGCAGGCAGGGACGCTCCCCACAGCAGCGCGGGGGTGAGCCCCGCCGAGGGAGGGGGAACCTCTCCCAACGCCTTTAAGCTCCAGGACCCGCTCAGGGCCGGGCTGCGCGGGGGGCTCCGCAGCCCCGGGCGGAGGGGACGGGCACCGATCTACGGTCATTTGAGCTGTCACAGCCAAAAGGATCCAGCTTCCTGCAAAAATGTCCGGGTCCTAAAGCCTTAACCACCCCCCACACCCCCCATAACTGCCCAATATGTGGGGAAGCGCCCGGCGCCCCGTTTTCTCCAGTCAGAACGGGGTCACAAGGGCGCTGGGGATGGGAACGTGCCGTTATCCCTGGCTCGGCGTCCTGCCCTTGGGAGCTGCCCTTGCTAACCGGCGCTCTCCTGCCCGCTCCTCTCAGTGCCGCAGCTGCAAGTTAAAGGTGCCCTGTCGATAGAAAATGGATCTAAAATCTTAGGAATCATAAAAAAAAAAAAAATAATCCCTTTTTAGGCTGTTCAACCAAGAGAAATGCTTCCAAACGTGGGCAGTGAGACAAGCGAGAGCCCAGCTGTGCTGGTGGAAGTCCCCTCCTCCTGCCCAGGCCCTGGGCATCAAACAGCACAGCAGGGAGAAGCTGAAGGGAAATGGGTCGGACACGGGGGTGAACAGCCCTGGGAGCCTCGCTGTCCCGGCTGGGGGAGAGGAAAAACATAAAATAGCTCTGGGTAAGAAGGGATGCAAGGTATCCTGCTTCCACACCCACGGTGCAATTAACGGAGGCACTGCCAAGTAATTATCTTTTCATCACGAGAAGTGGAATTTCACAAGGAAAATAAGATGAAGACACGGTGTTCGGAGCGATCTGTTAGAAAGCAGCTCCCTGCGGTGCAGAGCGTGGGGCTGGGAGGGGGACACCGCACACCACCCCCCCAGGCTTCTCTGTGCCTGTTGCTGCCCCGTCCCCCGGGACACCAGGACTTCGGCAGGTCACGGGTGGAGTCCAAGGCTGTACGGAGGCGGACGCAGCTTGCTGAGCTCAGATAATAAGCCTTGACAAAGAAGTGATTGATAATAAGCAAGAGGAGCGATAAAAAAGCCGTGGCCGGCTCCCAGCGCGGGGCGGTTGCACAGGTTGGGGTGTCAGGGCTACGTCACACGCTGAATGCCAGGGCAAGCGGCACCCCGGGAGCGCGGGGCTCGCCCTGGGGCTGGCGACGGCCACGTTCAGGGGGGGAACTTTGGCCTTTCCAGCCAAGGTCGCTGCTTTTCGCGGGGGTTCCCGGCACGGCGGGTACCATGGCACAAGTTCACTGCTCACGCCCCCATTTCTTGTGTCCCGCAGATCCTCCCCGGCCTCTACCTCGGGAACTTCATCGGTAAGCAGAGCCCCGCCGCAGACGCCCGCCAGCCGGGGGGGCTGGGGCTTGCTGGGGCCTGGGCCCCCCCGCCTGCAAACGCTGCCCGACGCCCTGCCAGCTCCTCTCTGCCACACGGGCAGCAGCGGGAGCGGAGGCACCGGGGGGAAACACAGAGCAGCAGCCCTCTGCCTTGGCCACCCTGAGCTCTCGGGACACACAGCGGGAAGGGGTTGAGGGGGGCCATGGCCTCACCAGGAGGGGTCCCAGCAGCGCCCAGTGGGATGCAGCCCTGGCATGACCCCCCAGGCTGGGACTGGAAAGCCCTCGCAGCCGTCCTGCTCACCCTGGGAGGGGACGGGAGCACGTGGGGTGGCACAGGACAAAGCCAGGCTTTGCTTTCAAACTCCCCCACCCCGGCCCCGAGTCCTGTGGGGGTTCACCCGCTGCACTGGGCTGTGCCATGTGCTCGGGCTGGCACAGATCCTGTGCCGGGAGCAGAGGAGCTGGTGGTGTCACAACAGTGCGAGGGAGCAGGACTGGAGCCGCTCAGGATGATGCCCCCCAGTTTCACAGCTGTAGGAGACGCAGGAGGGGGCTGCCCACCCTCAGGAGGGAGTTTCTCCCAGAGGCAGTGTCACCCCTTCTCACACCAGTTCACTATTTTAAGGGGTTTTCATTGTCAGGGGACAATTCGTGACCAAGTACTGTCATCTGCCCTGACAAGCCAGCATTTCGCGGTGCTCCTGCCTCCCTCATGGCTCTTTCTGCAGTTTGATTCCTGCTGCCAGTGCTGGGAAGGTTTACAACCACAGGTGCTGAGAAAATGTCACTGGAGCCTGAGCAGCAGCGCTGGCTGGGGCAGCCCTGTGCTTCCTGCACCCCAAGGAGCACTCTGGGGGGGCTGTGGCTGGGGAGCAGAGGGACAAGGGCACCCAGGTCCCAGGCTCAGCGCGGGGCTTCCTGCAAGTAACCACGGATGCAGGGGCTTGGCCCAATGCCCCCCGCGCATCGCTCTACCCAGCGGCCAGGGTGGTGGCAGAGATCTCAGGCCCGCTACACTAAGCTCTGACAGCTCACAGAGACATTTTCTCCAAGCAAAAGCTTTTCCAGCCTTGACGCCAGCGTCACTAATTGCTCTGCCTGCCCGAGGCGGGCGCTGTGCGAGTCCCCACAAGGGTCCCCACCTCCGTCCCCCCGGGGAGCATCTCTCTTGAGACTCCTGTTAACATTCACATCATGCCGTTAGCACACTGCGGTCTGGATTCCCGAGCCAAGGTTTTACACCACGTGAAAGTTTAGAAGCCCTAAAGCGGCGCAATGGGAGAATGTTACTCCTCCTCTCCGGCAGCTTGTGCAGCATCCGCCGGTCGTGGCATGAAAGGGAGACGGCTCCGAAGCCGCTCAGCCAGCGAGGCGAGGCTGCAGCCTAAGAACCGCTGTGCTGGACCAGCCACCGCGACCACAGCCAGGGATGCTGAGGCACCGGTGGGAAGCAGGTCGTGGGCCCAGAAAGCCGAGGATGCCCCATTTCGGTGCACGCGGCTGCAGAGAGGACACGCGGAGCGCGGCGAGTCGCTGCTCAGGCGTTTGCTGCAGATCCCTCAGGTGCTGAGGAGGAGCTCGGGCAGAGGGAGCCAAACTCGGGGCTGACCGGAATCAGTGCAGCTCCACATCAAAACGAAGCAGATCCCTCGGGCTGCAGCTACAGGGGAGGTGCGGGCAGAGCGGGCGTCTCCTCCCTGAACTGGGACAAGTACAGGCAGGCGGGGAGCTGCCTGCTTGAGAGGAGGGAGGTTTTTCCATGCAGAGGTGAATGCTCACCCCAGCACGAGCAGCAAGGTCAAGTGCCTTTGGAGGGAGGAGGTCTCTGGTTTGGTATCACGGGGTTCGCGTCCCAGATTTCCAGGCTGCGTTTGTGTCCTTGCCCGTGTCTGCGGAGCACGGCTTTGCGTGCTGGCTGTCTGCAGGGCACGGCGCGTGTGGGAAGAGAAGGGGAGAAATGAATACACACTAATATCTAGTTTTATCCTTTAGATGCCAAAGACCTGGAGCAGCTAAGCCGGAACAAGATCACCCACATCGTTTCGATCCATGAATCTCCCCAGCCCTTGCTGCAGGTAGGGTCCCGTGCCCGACACCACCGTGAAGGTCTCTGCAGCTCCTTCCGTGCTACAGCATCTTCCTTCCCCCTCTGAGCATCCCACGGCACGTGCACCTCTCTCCACGGTCAGTGGTCCCAGAGGAGCTGGGCCGCCCCCCCCCGCATGGGAAACTGCTTATCTTGTGACTATAACCTGGCCTTGAACGCTAACAGGAAAATAATTCCCAGCTCTCCAGCCTTATCTTGTTTCCCACCCCCTCCTGCGAGCAGCCTGTGTCCCCGTCCCCCCCCCAGGAGGGGGCAGCCCGGGCCCCAAGC